AGATAAATACATTAATAACATATTTTTAATAGAAAAAAAATACCCCACTAACAAAAGCAACCTCAGCAACAAGTACTGACGTCATTTGTTTGTGCGCACACAGAGATCCGTGACGTGTTCGAGCTGTACGATTTCTGGGATGGCCGTGACGGTGAGGTGGACGCCTTCAAGACCGGACACATGCTGTACTGCCTGGGCATGAACCCCACACAGGAGATCATCCGCAAAAACGGCGGCACTGAGAAGATGGGTGAGGACTTTTGGGAAGCATCATGGTGAAATCAGGCGCTCGTCAGAATAATGAAATCATAGAAATAGATCTAGATCTAGGCTTTTTCTGATTGTTGGGTCATTTTTTTTCTAATTTTTTCTTTCTTTTTTTTTCTTGCTCAACACCTTTGATATTGATTTAAAAACACACACTTGTGTGGATTTTAGTGAAAAACATTTATTAAAGGCACAGAAAATGTCAATTTTCAGGGCCCTAGGACTCTCAAGCTATGGAAATTGAAAAACTTTAGCGTCATTTTCTTACAAATTTCATCTCTGAAACCAGGCGACCCTAACCTCCTTCAATCGTAGATATGTCGACTTCTATTCAACATAGATGGATACCTTTTTTTACCAAAAAGGAGACAAATGAACCGACTTCAAGATGACAACAATAATCCAATAACCCCGAAAATTGACAAGCGCTTGGTTCCACCACGTCATTACACATTTATGTTCTTGATTTTGTTTTTGTTGTTTTTGTTGATGCTTTATTTGTTGTTGTTATTTTTATTTGTTGTGTGGGTTTGTTCGGGTTGATTGTTTATTTTTGCTTTTTTTTTTTGGTTGATTCTGTTGTTTTAGCTTTAGTAAGAGTTAAAAAGAAGGAGAAATAGCTTTCTGTTTTGATAGGAGTTTTTAAAGATATCTTGTTATTATCATTATTCATATAATATAATTATTATTATTATATTATGATAATTTTGATTGTTATTATGATGACGATAATGATTATCATTATTATGATTATGACTAGCATATTATAACATTATTACCATCATCATCATTTTTTCCCTTCTTCATCCGTCAGTATTTTTTTCATAATGATTATTTTTTAGGTACATATTACAATGCACTAGTTTCTATCATTATTGCTATTTTAATTGTATTATCGTTACCATTATTATCACGATGATGATGATGATGATGATGATGATGATGATGATGATGATGATGATGATGATGATGATGATGATGATGATGATGATAAATGATCCCCTTTGGCAGGCGAGAAGGCCTACAAGCTTGAGGAGTTCCTCCCCATCTACTCCGCTGTGTCCAAGGAAAAGGATACCGGAACCTTCAACGACTTCAACGAGGCTTTCAAGACTTTCGACAGGGAGGGACAGGGATTCATCTCTGCTGCCGAGATGAGACACGTCTTGACATGCCTGGGTACGTGCTGTTTGTTAGTTTGTTTGTTTGTTTGTCTGTCTGTCTGTTACACCGAGATGAGACACGTCTTGACATTTCCTGGGTGCGCGTGCTGTTTGTTGGGGGTTTTTTTGTCAGAATGTTTGTGTGTGTGAGATTGTATGTCTGTCTGTTACACGGAGGGCCAGGGATGTATCTCTGCTACTGAGATGAGACACTGGGTGCGAGCCGTTTGTTTGTTTGTGTATGTATGTGTGTGTGTGTGTTTGTGTGTGTGCGTATGTGTGTGTTTGTCTGTCTGTCAGTAACAGATGTATCTCTGTCACCAAAATGAGACACGTCTTGACATGCCTGGGTGCGTGCTGTTTGTTTGTTTGTTTGTCAGCATGTTTATCCGTCAGTTTGTGACTGTTTATCAGGCTGACTGGCTGGCTGGCTGTTTGTCTGTCTGTAAAATATGTTGATAGTCTGTCTCTCCTTCTCTTTTGTACATGCAGTTTTGTGTGTATAAGATGGTCTGTCTGTCTATTTCGTTATGCGCTCTCTGGTGTCGAAAAGGGAGGATGAGCTTACCATAGACGATGATGATGATGATGATGATGATGATGATGATGATGATGATGATGATGATGATGGAGAAGACGTATAAACCCTCTCCCCTTCCTCTTTTTTTAACAGGTGAGAAGCTGAAGGACGAGGAAGTCGATGACATCATCAAGGCCACAGACACCAGGGAGGATCTTGAGGGAAACATCAAATTCTCAGGTGAGAGAGGGGATGGAGAGAGTGAGAGAGAGAGAGAGAGAGAGAGGGAGAGAGAGAGAGAGAGGGAGGGGGGAGGGAGAGAGGGAGAGAAAAAGGGAGAAAGAGAGAGAAGGAGAAAGACAATTAAAACGAGACCTAGAGAGAGGGAGAGAGAGAGACAGAAAGAAAGAAAGAACGAAAGAAAGAAAGAAGGAAGGAAAGAAAAAACAACGTTAACCCTGATTGCAGGATCAAACAACTTAACTTATTATGTAAAGTATACGTTCAAGGAAGTAGAACAATAATAACAATTCAATCTCTTCATTTTTTCAGATTTCATCGCCAAGGTGCTCAAAGGACCATACGAGTAAACTTTGGGAAATCCTTTTCCCGTCAGCCAGTCAGAATCTACCACGTCAGAGCACTCCACTTCCTTGTTTGTTACGTCATCACTTCATGCTGACCCCTGCCACCTCAACCAATCAACGTGGAATGCCAAATTAGTCTTTATTTTAAAGTTCCCGAATCTTTTTTCAGTTATACACGTCTGTCACTGAATGAGAAGGTGTATGGAGTTAGGGTTATTGTTAGTCAATCGAAAAAGCATTATTTTCTCCACAAATTAATTTCTTCCCTTTGCTTTTTCCTTCAGTGTCTTAAGAAGTCAGCATGTTGGGTGAGGTTTTATGCGTGAGCGTCAGAGCGATTCTTCCAATGTCTGTTTGCTGTTTTTTTTATTATTTTTTTTTAAAGTAAAGAATGTTGATTGGATCACAAGTGTTTGTGATATTTGTTTGTCTTGTTTACAATTTTCGTTCCCCATCGTTGGCGTTTGTAAATACTGAATTTCAAGATTAAAGAAAAAGACTTGGTCTGGAAGATTTAGTTGTTTTGAACGCTGGCTATCGTGTGTAAGAAATAAGATGCCATCTTACACTCCCTTGAAGCATCATAGGGTTCGAATCAGTAATTTTGATTTGAAGAAAAAAACAGAGAGATTTGATTCAGCGTCATCCCCTCATATTCAAGATCCACCGATTCTTAATATTTTTTTTCTAGAGCTTTCCACAAGTTGTCAATACGACACACGCGGTATAAATAAATATAGACAAGCAAATTACGCATGGCTGCAAAGATCTGCTTTCCCCAAGTATACTCTACCTACAATATATTGAGTAGATTCCATCAGTGCAAAAGTCTGAGATCACCTTACGTGGCTTTGAGGATTACGCTATTTATAGAAACTCACAAGAACATCAGCCAAGAATGTGACGTAATAAAGTAAGAGCACATAACTCTAAGATCATCTGCTAAGTGAGCTGGGACAGTTTGTAAAATGGCGACCACCTGCCAGAGTTATCCTCTCTTGTCACCCTGTGACCTTTGACTCTTGACACTCTCATTAACTTTTGTAGCCGTGTGTGCTTGGATTGACGAATAAAATACCTGTGGAAAAAAGCTCAAAACGGACTTCACAATGCCTGTCTCTATGATTGTGGATAGCTCTGACTTGTACATGATATTATGTGGCATGAGCCGTTTTCTTTGACATCTGTGGTGTAGAGGTTGGGCACTTCGTTGTCATTTACAGAAAACTCGAGTTCGATTCTCTTTTAGGGAAAACTTATATCAAGTATCTCGGTCTTTCTTCTGGGATGTTGTATCCCTTTCAGCCTGGTTTGGTCCTACAACCGTGGTCGAAACCCACCTCATAAATGACCTAAATTGTGTCGAAGACAGGGCGGGGTGGAGGGGGGGGGGCAGCATTAGAAATAAATTAATCCGCTTTTGACACTCACATGGCATAGGAAGTGGTGAAATGGTAACGGTTTATCGACCCTGTCAACACTGTTAGGTTATTTAAAAGGCAGTTGGTCTGTACAAAGGGGTGACAACTGACTCTCCAGTAACACCTCTAATCTATATTCTGTATCCAATATTATCTATTTGTGTTGCAAGTGCCGTAAAACACGAACAAAAGCTAAAGAGAGAGAGCCCAAATTACAACATCTCCCCGGAAGAGACGCCTTTCCCTAGGACACAACGTTGGACTCTGGAGGTTGCAAGCCCACCAGCCTGTTTAATTTTTTTTTTCTTTCTGTTTTTTTGTTTTTGTTTTAGGGGGGGGGGGGTGAGAGGTGAAAGTGTTCTACGACGCTCACAACTGCATAACGTCATATTATCAGTAGGCGGGACACAATAAATATTTTTCGGTTGGTAGGAAATTTTGGATTTTGCCTGGTTGCGGTCGAAGCCTACTCTTATCGATTTTAGACCACTAAGGGATCTTTAAAGTGTACAACGTGCACACGGCGAAATTTTTCGCCTTCGTCCGAGGAGGCTAGGGGTAGATCTTTCCTACCAGAAGATCAGAGGTTGGGCTGAAAGACAGTAGTAATAAGAAGCCAAGGAGTAGCAGTAGAAAAGCTTTAAAAAAAGTCAGGAGCCCAGAGGAGGAGGCAAAGGGGGTGAGGGGGTGGGGACAGAAAGTGGAGACGAAAGCAGACTTCAGAACATAGCTAGAGAGCAGGAAAGGGGGTAAATGGAGACCCTTTTAGAGAAGAAAATGTTTTGGTCTTTACCCGGATTCGAACCCGGGACCTTTGAATGAGAGGCGAACACCTTAACTTCTAGGCCACGAAAGCCCACTCTTCTGATTGTTTTGAAACAGCTAGATACATAGTACACCGAGAAATGAATATGTGTAGATAGAAACACAATGCCAGTTTCAATATATATATGAAAATGGGAAGTTTTAATAGATGCTTTTTTCTAGAAAAATATAAATAAAACATAAGAACAAAATATTATAATATATCTATGAATATATA